TATAAAATTGAAATATACTTTTTTGAAAAAAAGGCATTGGACTCACTTGACTAAAATAAAAATAAACTCTATAATAGGATTACTCAGATAATTATTTCCTAAAAATGAACTAAACATAAGGCTGTCCTTTTCATCTAGCTTAGAAAGTAATCATCTCTATCTTCATATTGCCACCTGCGCCTCCCATACATGAGAAGAAAGTGAAATGAATATGTATGGGTCCAGGTGTCCAATGCCTTCATACTATATATGAACCAAAGCCCAGAAAGTTTAAACATTTTCTTAAATATTTTTCAGGTAGTTACAATGGCAAGCCTAAAATTTAGGACTGCAAAGTTCCATGGAAAATTTTCTCCACTTTACTGTGCAGTATTATGGTGACAAGCAACCCTAAAAGTTTTCTGTTGCATATCTCCTGGGTCAGCAAGCATACAGAGTATCACTTTTTTTTTCTATTTGAAAAATTAAAATAACTAATCCTCAACTTGATCTTTCTCTAATGCCAAGCAAAATTAAGAAGCAATAAATCAAAATCACTTAGCTAAAAGTTAATCTTATTTCTTTCTTACTCTTTTGCCTCTATATGTTTATCATTTTGCTAATGTCTCCTTTTGTGTCAAAGATTAAGAGAAAACTTGAAAATAAATGGCTCATAATCCATCACAAAAAATATGAAGTGGCAGGACTTGAATAATTTTTTATCACCCACTTTCAGCAATGACAGTGGTCCCAAAGCTGTCAATCAATTTCTCCTTAAATACTCAACATGTATCCCCAGGAAGTTGTTGGGGACATTTTAATACTCCAGGTCCCAGAAAAATAAATGTCACCTATAATCATGCATCAGAGGAGGTTACTAATTGTGTGAGGCAGTTGCAAAGGTCCTGAAATCTGTCTTAATTCTGCAAATTTGTAGGTGTTTAAAGAGTCGAGAGAGTAAAACTTCTTGAAGTAATTTAATTTTTTGGAACATTTTATATTGAAAATTAATTGCGTATTAGCTGAAATTTTCATCAATGCCAACAGTGTTTCCCATTAGCCCCAATTTAACATCTATTTGAAGGATCCCAGAACACTTGATCTTGGATACAGTATAGAGTTAGGGAATTCTGAGCTCTTTCACACTAATATTCTGTCTTATGCAAGAATTACTTATAAATTATGTGTACAAGTTTTTGTTTAAAAACAAAGTAAAAGACCTACTTGGAAACAACTGTTGACAAAAGAAACACAGATGATACAGGGGAAAAGAAGTAAAATATATAAACAAACAGTTTGAATGGACAAATTTACTATTCCGAAATGCACACATTAGGTACTGTATGGTGAACTGTGGCTTAATTACCATTGTTAATTCAGTAAAAAGGTAATTATTTACTTGAATAAATGCTCCTGGGCAATAAAACACACACACACACACACACACACACACACACACACACACACACAATTGTGAATGTGCCTTGAAGTAAATGTGCTCTCTATAAAAGCATTTTTATTAAACAAAATAAGGAGCAAGAACCAAAGAGTGAGGATAAGTTGGAACAATTCTTGATCTGATTATGAACATAAAGACTCTAATCAGTGCATTCGTGGAGAAACTTGAAGGTAACGGGAATGCCAAGCCACTAGAAGAGAAACCTAACAAGGAAATCTGAACCCATCCAAGCGTGGGACAGGGACAAAAATTAAGTTTTCCAAGTTAAGTT